AACAGTAATATTGTGTAATATTATTTACTATTTAAAATAGCTGTTTTCTATTGTAATATATTTTAAAATAATTTATTCCTGTGATGGAAGCTGAATTTTCAGAAGCCATTACTGATCCTTCGGAAATCTTTATAATATGCTGATTTATTTTATGGTTGAAGTCTTATGTTGAAGTTAATATTGAAATTAGTAGTGTTGATAAATGAAGAGTTCAGATGCAAAAGCCTCTAAATGCCATTTGAAATTTTCTTCTTTAATGATAATTTTTATCAAACTTGTATATTTAAGTTCAGTAATTTCACTTAAATGGCACTGATAATTACCTATTAATTGTTATTTAAGTGAAATTACTGAACTTAAATATACAAGTTTGATAAAAATCATAATTAAAGAAGAAAATTTCAAATGGCATTTAGAGGCTTTTGCATCTGAACTCTTCAAATATTACTGTGGAAACTGTACTGAGACTTTGGAAAAGTGATATTATACTCTTGTTTTTTGATTGAGTATCTGAAGCTCATGTGATTGTCTATGGCCAGCTGGAGCTCATTTGCATTTAAAGGGACACACACCCTTTTTGCTCACACTCAAAAGGGGTCAAATTTGACTAGCTGAATAAAGGAACTGATGAGGTATTTTAAGCAGAAATTTTATGGGGAAACGAATATTTGCGAATATAAACACAATACAAACCTATCCAGTATGTTTCCTCCTCTATCTGAGAGTAGCTATAGATTTTTTTCTGGTGTGGTTCATCAGTCTAATGAAGTGTGAGTTGGTATTCCGTGCTTCTGAGAGAAGCAGAATGCCCATATAAACAAATACCAAGACCTCGCTTAGCATAATGCTGCCATGGGAGCTGTTATTGGTTACACTTTAACTGCCCAAATGTACCAGCTGAGCTATTTTTCAACTAATTAGAAAGAGTGAGTTGTTAAGGGTCTGGGATCTATAGAATAAATGGACTGAAATTGGCCAGACAGAAAGTGATCAATCAAACCACATGTAAATGTCTCATGCTTTCCTAAAAGTAGCAATACCATAATGGAATGATGCAATTAATTACTGGTTTAAGGTATGAAAACTGCAAAGGTCACTATGCTCATGCACTGTGACCAATAACCATGGAATTTAATATCCCTTAAAAGTTGATTATTTTCTGATTTGTTGTATGCTCATGTAATATTTTGTCTTTGTATAGAAAATTAATGAATGTTTTCTGTTGTCAGATGATGGATTCCATGCATTCTGTTTTTGACTATCCTCATTTTGGTCTATTAAAAGTCTCAGACATATTAAAGCCAAATTTAAACCAAACTCAATCCTTAAAAATAAACATAAAAATATTTTACACCTCGTAAAAACATAATCACATTCCCTACCAGTTTACAGGACTAATTATTATGTAGGCCTATACAAACATTAAATAGATTCTATCATAATAGATGTAAAATACAAAACACAAAGGATTTAGAGATTTTTTTAGTTGTCTAATTTTTTTGCGAGTTGTTCAGAGAGTCGATGTGACCTCCAGTTCCTGGCCTTGACCCTAAAGCAGAAGAGGCCATGACCCAAGTGACACCTTTGGACAAGTTTATCCGCAGTTCAACCTTCAGCTGTCACCACCTGTCTTCCATGTTTATTGAGACATCTGTTGGATACTTTAGTCCAGCTACAATGTTGTACCACACCAATTGACAAAATGATACAGTTTTCTTAAATAAACAAATTAAGCCTCCACTGGAAGTTATTTAAAGGTCCTTGATCTTAAGCACTGAGTCACTGAGGAACATGTGTTTGAAAAGTAGAGAGATATTTTGTGCTCTGTTCCAGCAGCTTTGGACCCCTGCTCTCTTCCCTGCGTAATTCACATAATTCAATCTCTGTTTCAAAGCCTCCACCAAAAGGAGCCAAATGGTCTCTCCCCTCTGTTTGTGGTAGAAAGCTCAGATAAAGAAGCTGGCACAAGTGTTAAGGAGAACCAAGATGCTTATCAGTGACTTTTTGAAATGTGCTCCGATACTTTTGATAGCTGGGAACAATGGATATCCGTGCATGCTGAGGCTACCCTTTTTCCTAAAATGAAACTTATTATGATGGAAACAATCCCTCCCTCATCGATTCATGTCCTTTGTGAAGTCAGACCCTTTCTCTGTCAGAGGATGAAGAAAACCATTACATATCCATCCACAAGTCCGTATCTTACAAATAACAATAGTAGACATTTGATGTTTTATTTGATTAATTTTTATATTTTCATTTTATTTACATGATCGCATTTGGTAAAGAAACACACCTTTGCTTTGAGGTTTTGCAGCGCAGACTCATCCTGCTACTTTAGTGGTTCTGATTGTAGTGATTACTTTTCATGATCACAGATTGTCGTTTTGGGTGGTTATGTTTCATAATGTATAATCAGTCATGCATGAAATGAGTGCTCTGAAGTGTCAGGCAGGCTCAACAAAGTTGTATTCGTGGTTAACTGTCCTCATGTCACAAAAAAAAAAAAAGAAAAGAAAAGAAAAAAGACAAACACATTTTTTTGTTTTGTTTTATTTATCGTTTTACAATTGTAATATTTTAATTTATAATTGTCAGCGCCGGCCCGAGCCTTTTGGGGGCCCTAAGCAGAATTTGATTTGGGGGCCCCTCCCACGACGCGGAGTCACCTGTGTTTGACGATTATTGACATAAATGTCACGCAAAAATGATACATTATAAATGAATACACTGAGGTTATGTAGCCTATTAATAAAAAAATAGATGCCTACTTAAATAAAAAAGTTTGAAAACAGTCTTAAAACTGTCTCAAAACATATACAATAAATTATTTGCTAAAATTATGACAAAACTGAGAAATTAGAAACGTAAGAGCAATGATACTTTGGCCTATCCTCCTGGGACCCAGGAATAGACTTTTGTCCACTGTAGTGGACATTATATTTTAGTGTATTTCTCTGACACCACATTCTGTCACATTTTTTTTTCTGGATGTCCTGTAAAGAGCACATTCAGGGCAATACAGAGATACCAAATGTTTGGAGGTTTCACCATGAAAACAACTTCTCCTTGGTCTTTAAAAATGTCTAACATTAATTTAGTGATCAAATGTAGCACTCTTATTGAAATATGGTAATATATTGTAATTATAATTTAAATCTAACTACTTTTCAAATTGTATTTCATCAACCAACATCTCATGAAAATGTTATGGGGTTTCAAATGAAAAAAATTACTTTCCGTTACAGGGCATTGATTTCATTCATGTCCACTGTAGAGAACATCAGGACATAAATCATGTTTATCAGGCATTCTGGGAGACATAACAAGTGAATATGTAAATAAATTATACGTCAATATTCTTATGACATATTAGATATTATTATTAAAATGTTGCTTATTATTACGCCAATGCTTACACTTCTTTCCTCATTAAATGTTGCTCCAAGAACACATTAATGTGCAAATTAGATACAGTGTATAGATACTTTGCATTGAATGGGAATATTAATTTATGCCAATTTTACCCATATATTGCATAAAGTAAATTGGTGTATCAATTAATTCCATTATATCTTTCATAACATAGTTGATAATCATCTTTATACAAATTTTAGTTCAAAAAAATCCTGAAACCCCAAAATGTATTGGTGATTGGAAAAAAAATCCCATTGTTTTTGCCTACACATTGTATGTCATTTAATTTTAACAACTGAGTCCTGGTGTCCACTACAGAGGACAAAGTATTACATATGAATAAAATATAATTTTTCAAAAAGGTTTTTTTTTTTTTTACCATTTGTTTATTATGCTCTAAACAATGTGATGACATGAAAAAAAAACTAAATTAAAAAAAAAAAACTTTCTGGGTCTCAGCTATTGTTGAAAACTAAAAATATTACTAGCCTATTTCTCAACTGTCTCAATACAGAGTAACTATCCTCAAAATCTTTATTTTTGTTATTATTATTATTGTAACAGACTTTGTTATATAGTACATGACATAATCAACACAGTCTGTTACTATAATACCGGTTATGATGTTCTGGCGCTCGTTGTATGTGTGTATGCAATGTATTTTTCCCCTCGGGGCTTGCCGTAGATGGGTCGTGCGCACTTGCTAGGCTACTGGAGTGTCGCGGGTGTTTGGAGATCTGATGTGTGGTATAATAAAGTGGAGAAGAGTTCAAACTGCTATGTTTATTATTTATTCAAACTGCTACCCTTACACCTTGAAGGATAAGTTCTCCTGCGGGCTATTTTCTCCAACTTAAACCGATACCGTGACTAGGCGCAGTTGCGCACGAATTGTCTATGCACGCGCGAGGTGTCTAGAAGATTATGCGTATGACTTAAACGCTGGCAGACAGAGCAGCAGTTGTAACTTGTAGGCAGGTATATTGACCATTAAATCAGAATTTTGTTGTCTTGAACTATTCATTCAGTCATATTCATTCATTCATTGATTTATGTCACTTGTTTAAGTCATCTAAAAAAATAAAAATAAAAAATAACCTCGATTAGGGGGCCCCCTGGTGGCCAGGGGGCCCCAAGCAGCCGCTTAGTTCGCTTATGCCTCGGGCCGGCCCTGATAATTGTTATTGCCTATTTAATATTTATATAGAATTTTATTCTAAATGTAAAATGTATTTTCACTTTTCACCCTAGCCATCGAATCTCTGGGTCTCTGGGAAAGCAAGAATATATATATATATATATATATATATATATATATATATATATAATTATGTGTGTGTGTGTGTGTGTGTGTGTGTGTGTGTGTGTGTGTGTATGTATGTACAACAAATTATGTTTTCAATCATAAAAAATAAACTCTTATTTTTTTAAACTTATAAGTTGTTTTGTATTTTTAATGTGGGCACCACAGTATGATTGGATTCGGGGCATTCATTGGCGAGCCGCGTTCCTGGTCACTCACCACCAGCACCAGTGTAATTCATGAGCGTGTTCAGAGTTCAGACTGAGGTACACGAGAGAAGCTCTGCTAATGTCAGCCGTAGATGGGCGTCACCACTTTCATTCACTCCATTTAAACAACCTGCTGCAGAAGCGACGACGGGATCGCTTCATCATCGGCTGATAAGAACGAATCCGTGGATTAAGTTTGCGCACTGACCAAGCATTAAAGACACAATGACAGAGGTGAGCAATATCGTTTGTCCTAAAGAACGAGCAAAAGACAAGAGTTTTAGGTTATATTAGTTTAACTAATCCACTATTTCAGACACCTGCACTGCATCTTATAAGGTTGATATTTTTTAAGCAGATCTTTCTGCTGGATCTCTCTTTTGTTTGTGTAGCCTAATTGAGTTTCTTTAAAAAAGTTGTCAGCAAATAGTTAATGTTTCAGCAAAACTAAGTTGTGCTGAGTAGGATATTAAGTGTGTATTTTCTTTTATCTTATAGGCTATCTAACGCAAAATAACGGCATGCGTCGCGTAGCCTATAATTGGGGACATAGGCTAATCATTTATTATTATTATTATTTATTTATTTATTTATTTTTTACGGCTAGTCATTTTTTTGTTACGGCTGTTCCGTTTGCACAGTATTTGGGATTAGCCTACGCAAAAAAAAAAAAAAAAAAAAAAAACACTCAATATTAACTGTATTAAAATTTTGCATCATATTTCATTATGTCCATGGTTTGGCTTTAAACATTATTCTGCTTTCTGCGTTTCAGTCTGACATAGTTCAGAACAGCTGACGAAATCCATAACTTCAAAATAAATAAATTAATTCGAAACAGTGATTAGAAGCAGGAACAGAAATGCACTTCATTTTAATAGAAAATAAAGTGACATTTGCTGTGTTAATGAGAACTTGCTCTGCATGCATGTTCACAATAAACAGAAATTAAAGAGAGGCACTGAGGTAGGCCTAATCATAAATTGGATGTTATATGTCATATAGTCTTTCAAAGATAATTCACGGTTTTGCGCAAATCATGATTTATTCGACATCTCCAACTTCCTGCCAGCAAGAGCCGTGTTACAGGTTCAAGGCCCTTGATGGGTTTGTTGTAATAAATTTGACCTTTGACACTCCAGTGTCCTTACTGCTTACCACTGTGCACTGCTTGGAGCCCAAGGGACATTTAGATTCAGAGTTTATATGGTCAGCTGCAGAGCTAGAACAGTGGATAGTCTATTATAGATAGCCTTGAGTAGGCTACAATTATGCATAAATAACTAATTATAAAGACTGAAAGAGAGAGAATGAGACAAGTAAGTAAGAGAGTTTGCATGTGTATCTCCATGTTACTGTACCTAAATGATTCATCAATTACATTTTGTGCTACGAACTTCCTAAACTGTTTCCTCATAGGGCGAAAGCATATAAACCATTCTTAAACAAACAAACAAACATAAAAGCTTTTATCAAACAGCACTATTGTGTACTTACTAAAGGGAAAACAATACGATTTAACTTTGTAATGAACTTCAAACAGAATACAGGTGGAGTAACAGGTGGAGTAATTTCCTTTTATGATGGAACGTTATGCGTAATTCAATACTGCAATTATAACATTTAAACATAATAACACACTCTTTATGTTATGGTTAGTCTTGGAACACAACATAAGCAGGCTTATTTTATATTTTTAGAGATTTACGCTAATTTAGAACAGCATTATACTAACTTTCACATCCACTGTTGCAGCTCTGCTGATGTGAAATGTTCCACTAAAAAAGGATTTAGTGACCTAGAGAAATCAAGGGTCAAGGGTCTGTGACCTCACCAACCACATAGCAACCTGTCTTTTAGAAAGGACCACTTAGATGTTTAAGATGGCATGACGAAATCCCTAAACTGAAATTACTTTGCTCAAAAGAAATCACTGTGAAGTGACTTTGATTTTTGAAAAGCAGAACCAGCTTAAAGGGTACTTCAGCATGACTGGCTTGAAGCCAAACAGCTTTTGTGCTTTTGAAGTAGTGTCAACTTTCGAACCGAATTGAACCATGAAATAATAGGATGCTTTGACAATTTCACAAATATGAAAGTCTCTAGTGCCATAGGCATGTTTGTCTTGCATGATTGGATGGTCTTATGTCAAATACATTTTGAATAGATTGCATTTTTTTTTTTGTGAGAAAAAATAGTTAGGTTAATAATTTAGGAATGTGCTTAATGCTAGCTAAAGTTTATGTATGCAATTATACACAAAAGTTCAAATGCTGGGGTTTTGTTAAGATTTTTTAATAATTTTGAAAGAAGTCTTTTGTTCACCAAACCATTTATTTGATCAAAAACGGAAACCAAGTGTTTTCTGTTTTATTGTTATGTAGTCACATGATCCAGAAATATTTTCTAGTATATGCTGATATGGTGCTCAAGCAACATTTCCGATTATTATTAATGTTGAAAACAGTTGTGGAAATTTTATACTTTATATTTTTTGTAATTTTCTACTCAATCTCATTTCTACCCATCAGTTCATGTTATTAAATGAACATTTGGTATTTATGATTGATATTTAATAATATAGGGACGTAGACCTTTTGGTAATCATAACAGAGAAAACTTTACTCCATCTTAATGGGTGTTTGCACTGAATTATTTTTCCTTCCCCTTCCACAGTTGCAGTCTTCAACACCAAATGAAAAGATGAGTCTAAGTGGCAGCGAACTGACTGAATTCTTCGCCATGTGGGACGAATTAAACTTCACAGACGCCAATGACAACAGCACACGGGTGGAAGCGCAAATGTGCCCCACCTTCTTCAACCGTTCCGCTCTCCTCAATGCTATGTGCACCCTCTATGCCTTCATTTTTGTTGTGGGCCTGGCCGCCAATGCGCTAGTAGTGTGGGTCAACTTGCGCTCGGAGCGTCATTACCACGAGACACACTTGTATATTTTAAACCTAGCGGTGGCTGACCTATGTGTGGTTGCTACTCTCCCGGTGTGGGTGAGCTCGCTGGCACAAGGTGGCCACTGGTCGTTTGGCCAGGTGGCTTGTAAGCTCACGCATCTTCTGTTCAGTGTCAACCTTTTTGCCAGCATATTCTTCCTGGCCTGCATGAGCGTGGACCGTTATCTTTCGGTGGTACGCTCGGAGGAGATTTCACCCAGACGAGGACGACAAATACGCCGTTTAGTGTGTGCGGTGACGTGGCTGCTTGCTTTATTCGCCTCAATACCTGACACATACTTCCTGCAATCTGTAAAGTCACTACACGGTCATGTGACCTTGTGTCATCCTGTATATCCAGAGGACAACCCTTTGCAGTGGATGGTGGGCATTCAACTGAGTTTTGTGGTTCTTGGTTTTGTCATTCCCTTCCCCGTTATAGCAGTGTCCTATGCACTGTTGGCAAAAGCTCTGGCTTCCTCTTCCTCTCATTCCCCTTTACATGGTGACCAGGATCGCAGCGTGAGCAGGAAGGTCATCCTCACGTACATAGTGGTTTTTATAGCTTGCTGGGCCCCATATCATGCTGTGCTGTTAGCCGACGCTCTAGTCATGCTAGGTGTGCTCCCATTGGGCTGCGGCTCAGAGAACGGCCTTTTTGTGGTGCTGCACCTCACGCAATGCTTGTCGCTGCTGCACTGCTGCGTGAACCCCATTGTCTACAGCTTTGCTCACCGTCACTACCGCTATGACCTCATGAAAGCCTTCATCTTCAAATACTCCACCCGTACTGGGCTGGCGCGACTCATGGAGGGCTCTCAGGGCACCGAGACAGAATACGCAATGGTGGAGACCAACGCTATGGCTGTGAGTTAGGACCCTCGAGACGTCACCCTCAACCAAAGTTCTGCACTGCTTCAAAACAAGAACTTCTCTGATGTTATCCTGAAATTTAGATGAACAAAACTGAATTTAAGTTCCCGCAAATGCTCAACAGTGACCCCAAAGATAGTGAATTAATTTGAAATGTGCCAAAAACTGATGGAATTTTACTGTACAGCCAATCGATTGGTTCCATTTTGACTAGCAGCCAAAATTGTATACTTTATACAAAAAAATGTTACTTTAGAGAAACCTGTATGCTACTGTATGCTGTATCATTCAGGAAACAAAATAATTGTGTCCAATAATCACTTTTCAGAAATGCTTTCAATCATCATAAATGATTTATGATGCAACATACAAATTGTAAGTAACGTACTGTTGATGTAGTTCTTAATTGTGTGTTAATATTTAGATGTGGCTCAATTGCTACTGCCGATTTTTTTGGGGGGCTTTTGTATCAGTGGCAAGATAATTGGCATTACCTTTGTATTTTGTGTTCACATGTTCTCCACAACAGCATATTCCAACATGTTTGAAGAATAGAACAAAAATAAGTTATTTTTAACTGGATCTTGATGTGCAACTGTGTACTTCATTGTAGGCTTTGTTCATGTGTGTAAATTATGTTTTAAGATGGCTGTTATCTTGTAACGTGTGTACTTAAGGGCATTTACTTTATTTTGTCTTTGATACGTAAATGTGTATAATTTAGTTATCTAAATGTAATTTAAGTATGTTGTTATATTTATCTTTGGCATTTATTTTTGATAGTTTTGAGTGCAATGCTGAATACTTAAATGTGCTTGGAAATAAATAATTTGATTCACAGTGCCAGGAAATACATTATCCTCATCTCAGTTTAATTTGTGAAATCATTAAACCTCAGTGGTCCTTATTTCAATTTATAAGTATCTGATAGAAAATGCATGGTTAGATGAACCCGCTTGAGCTGGACGTAATATGGATTTAATCTAGCCATGACTTTTATGTTTGATTATTAAAATCAACACTGTATATTACTGGTTCACCATCTTTTCATTTCACCATAAAGGCATCATAAAAACTTATAGGTAATGACTAGTACAACAATGTAAATTATCATGGTGAAAGTTTTAATACTGTCTCAAGATGGTCATAACAGGATATTAACTGGCAGTGAAGCAGATTTAACCACATTCTGCTAATTCAATTTATCTAAAACTGTTAAAATGTCGAAACTTGAGGAGATGTAACTGGAAATACAATTACCACTCACGCTGACCTATACACTCTTAGTAGAATTTTCATTAATTCTCAAGATGAACTTATAATAAAAAATAAAAAAATTCTGACCAAGGCCTGTTTTGTGTTGATTCTTACGGGTAATTGTCAAAACAATAATTAGCTAAGCAATCTCACAAGCATATCTTCACGGTTGTAATCTTTGCAGCAGTTCAATAAAAATAAATTAATATAACTTACAACAGACACAATTGACAGTTGTTTTGTTTTACCCAAAGAAAGACCTTTCAGGTACACACACTTTGAGAGTAGTGTTTCGTGCCTGCAAGAATCAAGTTTTTTTTTAAAATTAATCAGTTGAGTTAATGATTCAGTGACTCAATAAATAGAGTTAGTTATACAACAGTTATAAAACTATGTTCCTGTTTGGTTTTGCAGGTTTCCATAGAATACATTTCATGTAATTCATTGGTTTAAACTCTTTATATTTTTTTTACCAGCTTTAAGAGGAGGCAAAACCAATCTTTAATGGTACAGCATATTCACTTCTTAAACCATTTTACCGTGATTTATTCCCCCATCTCAGTCAGCTAATGTTGAGCAACATTTCCGCATCAAATAGATGCATCAGGGACAGAACAAGGAAACTTTAGAGTCTGATTTATGCTGATCTGAACTCCACGTGCAACCAATGTCAGGTACTTCCAACAAAGACACCTGCAAGGCCTGAGCAAAACTGCTTAAGGTTGCATTAGCGGCTGCATCTAAAACTTGGGGATGAGACCACAGTCCATGGCTGTTCATAAATTGCCTAGTTATTCAACAATTTCTGATGGCTTTTTCCCCAAAAAACTTGCTTTACAAACCCATGGTCTCTTGTATTTAAAAAAAAAAAAAAACACTACATAATATGAATAAATGATTAATTGGTGCAATAAAAATAAATGGATCAAACACAAAAACAAACTCATTCCGTATGTTCCACACTTTTGAGCATCAAAGAAGATTATTGTTGTATAACTGAAGAGTTTTCCCATATTTAGCAGTTTGGTTGATTAACCCAGTTTGACCCCTCTTGAACTCATCTGGTTTCAATTGGTCTCTAATCTGTTAATTCCTTTTCACACTAATCATGGTGTGACATACTTTCATCACTAAACATCCCCTGTGTCTTTCTCGGAAGCTATTCATTTATTTTGTCATGCTCAAAGTTTTCATGTCTGGAAAATAACACCACAACAAAACTGTCAGACATTTAGACAACATAGTCAAACTTCAAAAACATTAAACAGCTTCATAAAAATGTATTCTTTCAAACTGAACATTGTTCTGAGTGTAGCCTACTATGCTTTCGCTGTGTTAAACTCACACAGGGAAAGAGAAAAGACCACAGGATTGAAACTGCCCAGCAGCAAAGACAATGAAAAGTCCATTTTTAACAGTGCCGAGAGTCTGGGGCTAAAAGTTTATAATATCTAAAATGTCATTAACCTCGTTTATATAGATGAACTGTTGCATGCAACAATATTACAATATCGCAGTAGTGTTGTGATATACTTGATTAAATATTTATGATATGTTCACGTGGGCCCTGTTATTTTAATGTAGCCCTTCATTGCATTTTTTCTTGTGCAGAATCAGTCTTCAGAAGACAAATTATGTCTTTCATTTTTGTCTACTTGTGGTTTGGCTGGTGCTCCAAAAGGGATTCGAGAAGGCGGCAGAGAACCACTGATTCAGGGAAGGCTGAATGAACAACCCAGGACAGCGTGTAATGTGAACAGCCGGTATTTATATGTTAGTTTTAGCTATTACCGGAGAGCGGCGTGAGGCCGGTGGCATGAGTGCTGAGCGACACCTGTGAAATGCACTGGTCTCACATCTCTCGCGGAGGAGGAGAAAGGTGAACAGTGAAGATGGAGAGAGTAACAGGCCTTATTTTATGTTGTGTTTTGTTTCTGTGGCCAGCAGTTTTTTTTAATTTATTATTATTAAAGTGTTGAATGTTTGCCGGTTCCCGGCCGCCTCCTCCTTCCAATAACATCTGAATCCTGTTACAATGTTGTCATTTGGGTTCCAGTCAATTGTGTCTGTGTTAGTCCTAAGTTTAAACCCTGGAAGGGGAGAGATGTGAATGGAGAGTTTTCAGTTCTTCCATCATTATTGAGACCTTGAGCAAGACACTTCTTTAGACAAAAAGCATTCAAGTGATTTATAACCAAACCCAAAGTCAAGAAGTCAGTGAGAGTCAGGTTTCTCTCTAGAGGTACGTGTGTGTAGATGGGCATAGAGTCTTGTTTTTACATCCCTTAAAAAAGTCAGTGTTTCTCCCAGACCCAGTATGAATTCCCATGGGAACATCTGGTCTGCTTTGGTAAAGGGAGCAGAACAATCCTCTGCCCCTTTTCACATTCACCACAAACATCAGCTCATAAAATATGCTGAATCAAATATGTATAGGATTGAGTTCACGTGGAAACTGTAGCTTGATTAGTAAACCAGGGAAGCAGGTTTTCCCCACCCACTATTCTTTCTATTCATCAACATGTCCATGTGTCCAAAACTGGATCCCTGAGTCCGACAAAGACTCCATGGCATCTCCGTGACTCAGCAAAATGAAAAGGAGATTAGGGTTGATCCACGACAGGAAACAGTATTTATCATTCCTTTACATATGTTATATCACATAATAATTATCACTTACTTCTTCCAACAGACACTTTGGGCAAATTCCAATCAGAAGTGAGCATATACCCCTCTCACTCCGAAGGCAGAACATGACCATAAATGATTACACTACTTCTTTGAAGTGACTATTGCATGTTCCCTTCACTAAATGATATGTGGAAGGGCCATCATGAAGAGATTCACTTTCATTTAAAACGCTCCCTTAAATGGTGTCTCTTTCCTGAAGTGCCCTTCAAGGGTGATAAAAATGCCTTTTGGAATTCGCTATTTCTCTAGGCTAGCTACTAATAGGCGACTCATCACAGGCAAACTTGTGAATAACTGTGTGACCCTGCAAACTCGGTACAATATACAATATAATAAGAATGTCCTTGTATCCACATAATTTGGTTACATGCTGGGTATATTTCATTTTGAATATTTTTTCGTCATAAATAAATCAGTTTGTTTTTGCTTACACCACGTCTGTCATCCTTTTTAATGGCTTTTTTTCACATTGATTGGTCATTTCCTTTACCAAAACATTGACTGTTTCATTTGGCCTGTTCTGTGCCCAGATCCATTTACACCGATAAACAAACAGGTGACTCCAGACTCCCCGTAGGCATCATTCATCACTGCGGCATAGCATGACAGGTAAACTCACCATGAGAAACATGATCCAAACCACAGTACCACAATACAAACCAAAGAGAAAGTCTGCCAGTCTGATTTGACAATAAGAGAAGATTGTTCAGAATATCTCAAGAATCTTTATCAGCAAATAATTAACTTTAAAAGTTATTTAAATAATCATTTGAATTAGTTCACAAATGTCCCTAACTACAGATTATGATGATATTCATAGTATATAATATTAAGAATATCATAAATATCACTATTTACTTCAGAAAATAATCGTAAGAAACAACGTAAGCAACATGTTATGTTACACTTTATCTGCCAAAAAGCAGAAATATATGTGTGCTTGACGCCTGTCTTATCTAATAAAAGTTCTGGTTTGTGGTGTTAATACCACATGAATGTGAGACTGGGAAAATTGAATTATACAGGCTTCAGCAGCAGACAAATGAACAAGATTAAGATTAAGGAATAATTTAACTTTGTAAATCCATCCGCCATGCTCATTTTCACCATCTGTTTGTGCTGTTGGCTCAGACATCGGACCCCTGCAGAACTAGTTGTGCTTTAATATGAGGAATCAGAGGAATGCGGCTGAGACACTGCTTCTCACGTCAGAACCATTAGGAAAGAGGTAAGAGAGGCCAAGACTATTCCCAGAAGCAACACCATCATTCCCATGCAGACACACAACAGAAACCCTTTTTTCAGGCTCTCGCCAAAACTGTATTTCCAAGGTTAAACATACAGATTTTCATCTGTCTATGGAAAAGGTGCCCAAACTTTTTACAACACACATGTCAGTACAATCAACTTGAAAAAGTGCATGTAACCATTATATTGCAACGCATTCTCACCCCAAGGCGTCACCTTTGACCATATTTGACGTTTTAGGCGCCCTTTAGCGACAGTTACATGACGCGATCCTACGGCGCCATCTAACTGACGCTAAAGGAAAGCGTCAGTTTGAGGACGCGGTTAGGTTTACGTCTGGGGTGGGGGTGGGTTACACGCGATCCTAGGGCGTCATCTAACTGATATTGCGTCAGATATTGAAGCATGGTTAAAATGCTTCTCAAGGCGTCAGTTAGGTGACGCCTTGGGGGTGAGAATGGGCTGTATGACCCATTTAAATACAAATATAAAAGAGGAAGAAAAGTTCAACCAAAAAGTTAAATTAGGAATGAAGATGCTTCAATGGAATATATATTTTTTTCCATTCTCATATGATTTGGCATGGCAGTGCAAATTGAAGGTCATCATAGCTTTGATAAGGTAGATGCTTCCTTTTATTGTCATATTTTCACACAATTACTGCAAAGCCAGTTTTCCACCACATGGAACTTGTATAAAATTGTGGTTACATGAGATGCTAACTGTTTCATACAAATACTAACTACTTTTCTGGCATAAAACACTTCTAAACTAAATATTGGAAATGCAGTGTAGGCTATCTCTTAATATTTCCTGGAGGCCCACTTTTGTGCTGTGTGGTCCTGATTATTTTTTGCAGATGCTTTTGTTCTCAAATATAGATAATTTTATAAGAGCTTTATATTTTAAATATATTGTCTGTTTCAGCTCATAAATGTAAAGGTGAAATGCTTTGTGAGCTCCATTGGTTTAATTACTAATGTCATCGTCTCTCTCTTTTTTAAACAGCGTCCTCACCTAAGGACATACAACTGTTCAGGAAGACAAACAATTCTGTAGACAATTGAAGCTGTTAACTCCTGTGGGAGAAGGACGGTGGAGGAGGAGATGGGAAAAGGACATATCCGTCACAAGCCGAGTTATCAGCTGGACTCAAAGGATCGGAAAGGAGAGGCTTTCAGGATGTTCTTTAGTAAACAATCAAGCTCATCAGAGCTACTGTACACTACACCACATCAGTGAAAGCTGTAATTAATATAAGCATAAATCAGACCTTAACATGAAAGGAGGAACATTACAGCCTACTGGTTCTTACGTATTTGTCTTGATCAAAGGTGATACAAAAACCTGAACTTGAACGCATCCATACTTTGCAGATGAAAATGGTTCTGTAAAGCATTGGACCGGGAGTCATGCAGAAAATTATGTGAAACCTGTGTTTATGTTGACAACAATTCAGCAATAAATGCACAAATACATGAATGAAAATAAATTTTTTTCGTGTCCTTTGATTGTGTTCTTGATACTATTTTAATTAAAGATATTGCAGTGGATTCCCACCACATTCGATCATTAAAAAAAACAAACAAACAAACAAAAAGATTATCATCAACGTCAATGATGGTGTCTAGGGGTTTCTCTTTTTCAATCGCGCCACCTCCTGGCAGTAATGGAAAAACGCTTGACTTTTGTTATGAAATGCGTCTGTGAATAGCGGAAGTGTGCAGCAGTGGCAGCAGAGCAGAAGCAGCATGGCGTACTCGGCGAAAATCGGACCGTCTATTTTGAGCAGTGATCTGTCTCAGCTCGGGAGGGAATGTGAACGAATGATGGAATGCGGTGCTGATTATCTGCACCTTGACGTTATGGACGGGTGAGGAGGAGTAAAGTTTGCAAATCTTTATGTAACTTTCTCATCTCACAAAGTATTGACATGCAGTTAGTTACAGCGATCAAATGGCCCAGAGAACTGACCATAAAAAAAAATAATAATAATAATAATAATTACCAGAATATTTAGTTGTCCCACATTTACCCACACTCAAAACTGTGATATAAGTTACAAGAAATCGTGCACAGCTTCTGAAGTACAGCATTGCAGAGTGACAAGTAAATGATCTTATTCCAATCCCTGAATTCTTAAAAGTGATTGTTGATTAGATCCGCCAAGATTAAACTCGATATGATTTTTAAATGTTCTGCAAATAAGCCTCTCTAAACCTGCATTTATTTTTATTAAAATATAGTCGAAAGTAAAAATGTGAAATATTATTTATTTATTATCCTATATTTTAAGATGTCATTTATTTATATTTCTTTAAAGCTGAATTTTCAGCATTATGCCATTCTTGTGTCACATGATCCTTGAGAAATTAAAAAAAGCATTTGTTATTATTGTTAGTGTTAAAAACAGTTGCTTAATATTGTTGTGGAAACTAATTGTTTAGTATTATTTGATGAATGGACGATTCAAAAGAAATTTTTTTAAGTATATTTTGTGACATTATAAATGTCTTTATGCTGTCTTTTTTGATACATTTAATTAACCCTTGCTGAATAAAAGTATTAATTATTTTTTTTAAAAATATATATTTCTTGCCCCAAATTTTTTTTATACAATTCATTCATTCATTCATTCATTCATTCATTCATTCATTCATTCATTCATTCATTCATTTATTTGGTCCCAAACTAGTTTAATAGGTTATTTTGCTATATTTGCAACTGTTATCTGTTCTGCCATGGTGTCCATTTATTTTGAGTTTCAGGCTCTATTTTGTACCCTATTCATGGAGAGTGCCACATATACATATATACACATACAAAATTAAAAGTTTATGAATCATGTGTCGGAAGATAAGACATCTAATTCTGCCTCCCTGGACTCTATCCTTCATCTTTGCATCTAAAGGCATTTTGTTCCAAACCTCACATTTGGGCATCCTATGGTGGAATGTTTACGACGCTGTATCGGACCTGATCCATTTTTTGGTGGGTTCCATTCTTTGTAAAATTGTATCTGTTTCTAATGCATTTGAGCTGCATACATTCTGGCGCTCCTATTTGGGACTGTTTTGTTAATAATCTGCTAAAGTGGGTTCACTCTCTTTATTTTTTTTTTTAAATAAACTTTGCTTGTAGGATAGACCCTTGCAGTGTTTGGAGGCGTTGCTTACTCTTGCTTTTTTACAGACATGCATATGATGGTGTCCAGGCCAGAGCAATGGGTGAAACCCATGGCAGCAGCTGGAGCCAATCAGTACACTTTCCATCTAGAAGCCACTGCCAACCCTGGCAACCTCATCAAGGAAATCAGAGAGAGCGGGATGAAGGTCTGTGCTAAAGTATTGCAAAACCAGTATTGTTTTATATATATGTGTATATATAAACACTTTTTGTGTTCAAATTTTAAAATTTGTTTATAATGGGCGAGTGCATCATGAATCCATTTTCCAAACCGTGTTTTTGTCTTATCCTGAATCACTACGTTACACCTATAAGGGTTTCTATTCTTTCTATTTTGGACTAGTACGAGACAGCCCAGTACCTCTGTGACTCATCATAGACATAAACATATAAACAGATATAAACAGAGAGAAGTTACTCCACCGACAATGTTCTTCCGCAAGATGCATGCAGTTTTGTTTATTAACCACTTGAGCGCCTAAAGTTACATACTGCAGATTTAAATTGCACAAAAAAAAACTTTTGAGATTTTGATTTTGACTTATATGGACGTATATGTGTATTTGAAGAGTTCAGATGCAAAAGCCTCTAAATGCCATTTGAAATTTTCTTCTTTAATGATGATTTTTATCAAACTTGTATATTTAAGTTCAGTAATTTCACTTAAATAACAATTAATAGGTAATTATCATTGCCATTTAAGTGAAATTACTGAACTTAAATATACAAGTTTGATAAAAATCATCATTAAAGAAGAAAATTTCAAATGGCATTTAGAGGCTTTTGCATCTGAACTCTTCATTTATATATATATATATATATATATAAACTTTTCCTAGATCAATTGCTACTCATAGTAAAAGATATAAGATATATATGATATTTTTTAAATGCATTTTTTTGCAGGTTGGTCTTGCCATCAAACCTGGAACAACTGTTGAGGAATTGGCACCGTGGGCTAGACAGATCGATATGGCTCTTGTCATGACCGTAGAGCCTGGCTTTGGTGGTCAGAAGTTTATGGAAGATATGATGCCAAAGGTATGGGTATGCAAATGTGTTTTTGCCACTAGTATCCTCATTTACAATCCTCAGACAACAATATCAAACATTGAAGATGCTTGTGTATCTCTACAGGTGAGTTGGCTCAGGAGTCAATTCCCTTCTCTGGACATTGAAGTGGATGGAGGAGTCGGTCCAGACAGCATCCACAGATGTGCAGAGGTACACAAATCACTTACCTTTCTTATTTATTTGTATGAATGCAAAAGCAAGAAAATACTCATCTTTGCTTGTTACTTCAACAACCCTAGGCTGGAGCAAACATGATTGTGTCGGGCAGTGCCGTAGTTAGCAGTGATGACCCTCGTTCTGTGATCGCCCTCCTCAAAAATGTTGTTGTTGAGGCGATCCAGAAACGTTCTTTGGACCGCTGAGCATCTTGACTTTTTACCTCAAGTCTGTTTTCATCCACCACTGAAAGTCATTCCTGCAGATCCTGAGTCATTTTTAATGTATAAATTTGTTATTGAATGCTCAATGGTGCTTTGTGAACGGACATGACCAAAGGTTGGATGTGCCGAGGGTACGTTTGGTTTGCACATCTACAGACCATGAGAACTGCCTTTGCAAAGACTCTTATTTGGATTCAGCAGTTTTCAGATGCATATGGAATTTAAGCACTTTGACCAGACAGAATATATTTGTTCTCTCACCAGTGACATTAATTTGACTATTCCCCTCTTTGACTATTCCCCTCAATTTGACTATTCCCCTCTATAATTAACCCCATTTGGTTTGATTTTTTTTTCTTTGAGACAACAAACATTGATAAAGCTGTTCATAACTATATCAGCAGTTATTTGTTCAGGTTTGTTGGTCATCGAATAAAGAATGACATTGTAATGCAGCTGCATAAGCTCTACATACTGTTATACATTTTCTGCAGATTATGAGTTAAAATGAATTTTAAACCTTCCATCAACCAATATTTCTAATACCCTGATTTGATAAAAAGTGTAAATCAGAATACTTTAAATTGCTATTTGTCAGTCTGATTTGTCTGTCGATGTCATATGAAAATGCATTTATCTGTACTGAGGGTAGCAGTAACACAGCAATGTTTCAACACAACACAACGTCTGTTAACAGTTTATCATGTACAGTACAATGACATGTTTAATATAGTTTTGAAATCAAATGCATTGAACACATAATAAAATAAGTGCGTACATAACATAAGCAGATGCTTTAATGTAATTTGTAATAATCTGTTTGAATCTGTAATAAGTTTGAGTTGTCAGTCAACAGCCAGGACCTCAGGATAGCAAAACATGTGCTTTCCAAAATATGATCCTTCGCGTCTTTGTGCCATCCTTCGACCAAATCTCCCAACAGGTCGTATTCCTCTGCCTTTATACCAAACGGCATCAATGTTTGGATCTACAGGGAATAATAGTATTAAGAATAGGAACATTTGATATTATATATTATAACAAACATTAAAAAAATATTTGAATCAGTAAAATCATACCCCTCATATCCATTGAGCGTAATGGAAGCTCATTATGAGGTTTTGGCTGGGTAAAACATGCTAACAGCATAAGGATACAGAGCAGAGCACACAGCTTTTCAAGCATGGCTTAGTGTCTATCACCAGAACGGAGAGAAAAGTGTCACCTGCAAACCAGCAACAGAAAAATAGCGATCAAAAGTGTATTCAGTGTTTTTTCCCCCCCCATTAAAAACACTAAACTAAAAAAAAAATACATAAATGCTTACCACATTGTTTTTTTATGTTTTTGCAGATTACATTTTTGAATCATGTCTATAGAAATGTCTTTGTGAGAAAATATATGACAAGATACAGCCTTTACTAATATACTGTTAGTAGAATAGCACCAAATATTTACAGAATTTAACAGAATTTAATGTTTTCTATTTTAAACTGCTACATTTTACAAGATTCTTAATTGAAAAAGTCATTTAACTGAAATAATTCTTCTATAACATCATATTTTGTCAATTACAATGCATTGACTCTTACAGGATGTTGTAAGCTGTTCACCTCTGTGTTGATGAAAGATGAAAAATCCTTTAATGCAGAAGAATGAATGTTTCTTGTCTTCGAGGTAGGAGTTGTTCGGAGGATTTGTGATCTTATAGTCTTGCCATAGCTGCTGAGTTTGTAAAAACTTCTAAAGCAGCATTCTTGAGTCGTTCTCAGAGGTTGAGGATATTTTCTCCTGGATAGCCTGATCCATCTATTTATACCACCTCTGGGGGAGGGTGAAGGCTACACAGCTTATATGTACACACAAATCATCCTTACCCTAAATATGCAAAAGATAGTGGTAATGTGGATATAAAGACTGAGGAATAATGCAGCATATGTTGGAATTGTTGTAAACATGATTACTGATTAATGAATCAAGCTCAATTAATTAATGAGCTTGATTCATTAATACACAGGACAAAGTGACAGAAAAGAAAATGGTTTTAGATTTTTTTTTAATGAGCAGAAAAAAGAAACATTTGTTATATTAAAAATATATCAAATACAATATTTTGAGAATATACCAAAGGAAACTACATACAAATCTGAATTAAGATATTAAATAATGACTATATTATAAATACTGAGTCATCATCAATACGACAGCAGTTATTAAGTGTAAAGAAACAAAATCTATTATGTTTTCTATTCTAGTAAACTGCAAATGCTACAAGGTGAGCCTCATTTATCGGAATAATCATCTGACACTCATCTAATAAAGATTGAAGCAGGTATCAATTATTTATTATTTAGCTAAGAGTTCAGAAACAAGCCCTTGCAGCTGACTTTATTAACCTATGAAATACACTCACCTAAATGATTGTTAGGAACATACTGTGCTTGACCCCCTTTCGCCTTCAGAACTGCCTTAATTTTACATGGCATTGATTCATGGCATTGAGTTGATGAAAGCATTCTTTAGAAATGTTGGCCCATATTGATAGGATAGCACCTTGCAGTTGATGGAGATTTGTGGGATGCACATCCAGGGCACAAAGCTCCGTTCCACCACATCCCAAAGATGCTCAATTGGGTTGAGATCTGGTGACTGTGGGGGCCATTTTAGTACAGTGAACTCAATGTCATGTTCAAAAAACGTCTCGGTTACGTATGTAACCCTCGTTCCCTGAGTAGGGAACGGAGACGTTACGTCAGAAGTGACGGAGATTGGGGGTTTCGCATAGAAAGCCAATCCTCTTCGAGTATTAAAACACGAGCCAATGGCATGCAATGCCTTGGGGCTGCGGAAATTTGCATAGCGTACTCCGCCCTACTCCGTGAGTATAAAAGGAGGAAGTGAACGCAACCGCAGTATGTCTTCGCTGAGGAGCCAAGACTGAACTCGGCCTCTACCCAGCGATACAGCAGAAGTGGCAGGGAGACGTAACGTCTCCGTTCCCTACTCAGGGAACGAGGGTTACATACGTAACCGAGACGTTCCCTATCGTAGTCACTTCGAGTTACGTCAGAAGTGACGGAGATTGGGGGTCTGTGCCATCACGCCATCTTCAAGCTGTCTTCCAGTGCCCTGCGAAAGACTGAACCCCCGAGCCTTACCTCTTTTTTTTTTTTTTTTTTTGGGGATCCGACTTTGACACAGGATTACCAAGGTACACTGGGAACATATCCCGAAGGGGACATGCTACCAGCTGCCTACCGAAGGGAGGACTTAAGAATACACATATGGCCACATAGGAACGCATATGGAACACTGGAGTACCAACCGCAGGTGGCTACTGATTTAAACTCCAGGGGTGGCAGATGGCTTGCCAAGGGAAGACACATGCTCAGAGAGGCTTACAGTGGATAATACACATGAGACGGTTACCATGGGGAACCGTGCGCATGGAGGCACCTAGCTAGCATCCAGAGCAACGCAGTGGTGCCCGCATCGTCGGTGCTGGAGGACTCAAGACTTCAATGGAAGAACTGAGGAAATATCGCACTTATCCAGTCCGGGGAGTGGAGTGGCGAGCAAGCGAAGACACCTGAGCGGATCCAGAACTGGCCGAAACGAGTACGTGAGAGGATACCGGCTCAATTCGCAGATTATAGAATCTGGCGAAGGTGTTGGGTGTCGCCCAGCCTGCAGCTCTGCAGATGTCTGTTAGCGAGGCGCCGTGCGCTAAAGCCCAAGAGGAGGCTACACTCCGAGTGGAATGGGCCGTCACACCAAGGGGGCACGGAAGGCCTTGCTGCTGGTAAGACAAAGCAATGGCATCCACTATCCAGTGGGACAGCCGTTGCTTTGAGAGAGCCCTTCCCTTCTGGCTCCCCCCATGACAGACAAAGAGCTGGTCTGAGGTCCTGAAACACTGCGTTCTGTCGACATAGGTGCGGAGAGCACGTACCGGACAGAGCAGTGCCAAGGCTGGGTCTGCCTCCTCCAGGGGCAGCGCTTGCAGGTTCACCACCAGGTCCCGGAGGGGAGTGGTAGGAACCTTGGGCATATATCCAGGCCGGGGTCTCAGGAATACGTGAGAGTAAGCCGGCCCGAACTCCAGGCACACTTCGTCAACAGAGAGTGCGTGCAGGTCCCTTACTCTCCTGATGGATACCAATGCAATCAGGAGTGCTGTCACATAGGACAGGGCAAAAACTCTACCGACTGCAAAGGCTCCAGGGGAGGCCTCTGCAGAGCACCCAGGTCTACTGAGAGGTCCCCAGAGGGCAGGAGGGGAGGGAGGCGGATTTAGCCCCCTCACTCCCCTCAGGAACCTGATGACCAGGTCATGCTTCCCATAGACTTACCTTTCACTGCATCATGAGACGCGGCAATGGCCGCGACATAATCCAAAGGGTGGAGGGCGACAGCCTGCGCTACAACCCCTCTTGCAGGAAGGAAGCATGACTCCGATCGAACATCTCCGGGGGTCTTCTCAGCGAGAAGAACACCAATTGACGAAGAGGTTTCACTTCAACGCATAAAGGTGTCACGTGGACGACGCTCTTGCGGAAGTGATGGTTGCCGCCACCGCAGGTGGCAGCGAACTCAAACCTGCCTCGTCCCGTCCTGGAGCCACACGTGCAGCCTCCAAGATCGGGACGAGGGTGCCACAGAGTGCCCCGTCTCTGAGAGAGTAGGTCCGGTCTCAGAGGAATAGGCCAAGGAGGTGCTGTCGCGAGGAGCAAGAGTTCGGAGAACCACGTCTTGGTGGGCCAGTAGGGGGCTACCAGCAAGACCTGCTCCTCGTCCTCCTTGATCTTGCACAACACCCGTGCAAGGAGGCTCACTGGGGGAACGCACACTTGCGTGGGCCCCGTGGCCAGCTGTGCGCCAGCGCATCCGAGCCGAGAGAGCCGCGGGTCAGAGAATAACTGGGCGCAGTGGGACGAGTCCCGAGAGGCGAACAGGTCTAACTGTGCCTCCCCGAACTGGTCCCAAATCAGCTGGACCGACTGGGGATGGAGTCGCCATTCGCCGGAGATGGGACGGGCCCGGGACAGCTCGCGGCTGCCCGATTCCGGTCTCCAGGAATGTAACTGCACGAAGGGACCTCAGGTGCTTCTGACTCCATATCAAGAGGTGGCGGGCGAGCTGCGACAACCGGCGCGAGCGTAGACCCCCCCTGGTGGTTGATGTACGCTACTGCCGTAGTGTTGTCTGAGCGGACAAGCACATGCTGGCCCTAGAGCACGCTCGGAAGCGGTGCCGGGCGAGCCGTACTGCCAACAGCTCGAGGCAATTGATGTGCATGAGGCGCTGGGCTCCTGTCCAGGAACCGGCGGCTGCATGCCCATTGCACATGGCACCCCAACCCGTGGTAGACGCATCCGTGGAGACAACGAGATGCCTGGAAACTCGCTGAATAGGGACCCTGTCCGTAAAAAGCTGAGGTTCGACCACGGGAAGAAGGATCGGCGGCACGTCGGAGTCACTGGAACTCGGAGCGAGCCGCGATGCCATGCCCACCTCGGGACTCGATCGCGAAGCCACAGCTGAAGCGGTCTCATATGAAGCAAACCGAGCGGCGTTGCCGCGGCCGCGGATGCCATATGCCCCAGGAGCCTCTGAAAAGTTTCAGTGGAACCGCACTCTTGCCCTCGAACTGTCGAAGACAAGCCAGCAGTGAGTGCGCGCGCTCGTTCGTGAGCTGCGCGGACATGGCGACCGAGTCTATCTCCATGCCGAGAAAAGAGATCCTCTGCACGGGGCAAAGTTTGCTCTTTTCCCGGTTGACCCGAA